ATCTCTCCCAGACAATAAAAAATGATACTCAACCTGATAACTGTTTCTTTCTCACATTGGCAATCTGTGAACTTTTGGTTTATGCTGTCCAATGCAGAACTTGGCATACACACGCGAGGCTCCTTGACCTTTATGGTTAACTCCCTTTCAGACAATTAACAGTCAGGTTTAAATCACTTTATCAATGCGAAATACTGCTTGCATGTCCAAATACTGTCACGCTAGCAGATATTTTTTGTTTCTGACAGTTTTGAAGTCAATCAAGTGTAGTTGTTATCAAACCGGCACATTTAAAGCCTCTTGTAAAGCAACTTATTTCCTTTAATAAATATCAAATTTCACTTGGCATTCTCATAAAAAAACTGGACATCAGAAATGACCAATGGTCAGACAAATGCCAAGACTGTCATAGCAGAAATTAATCTCATGCACTCTTTCACCTGTTATTTTAAAATTTACCATAATCTCAGTTTGAAAGGGTCCATCTGTAAAATGACCCATCTCATTCACAACTTATGAAAATGTCCACTATTTCATAATCAAACAGACCATTACTTACTATTAATGAAAGGACCAGCCTTACCCCAACACAATGGGTACTATCTTTAATCAAAATGACCATAACTTATGTGTACGTAAAGACCTCCCTCAGATCAATATAATGACCACCACGTACAATCAAAATGACCATACCTTGCAAATATCAAAATACCGTCCTTGGACCAATATAATGACCATCACAATCATCAGTAATGGGCAGTTATTCTTATAGTCTACAGCATAAATAGAAAAATCAATTACTTGAAGATTATAACCATACTATATGAGGGAACATTATGCAATAAACTTAGACTGACAGGGAGGGGGATTGATAAGTTTTATACTGAGGGACTGGCACTGTTTAGTTGACTGCTCTTAAAACCAGAAAGACTTTAATACTTGATATTCTGCACCATTAGGAAGCACAAGGAATAGGAAGTCGGGGGGGGGGGGGATAAATTTGTTTTTTGCAATAAGAATATAACATAACTTGGTAGAAAGGTCTGTTTAGATCCTGCCATATCACTTTGTTTTGCACCAAGACATATCACATCAGCTTTTCCTCTTTAAGGTTTACTTTTCAAATGAGATAAAATACCTCTTCCAAACCCCCATTATCATTTTTCCTTCCCAGAATTTCCTCTACAATCACTTTAATTTCCCCTCTCTTATGTGTGTTAGTTCCTTATTCTCAATATCTATCAAAATATAAAACACCTAGGCACCCATACAGTTTCTCCATATACATGATAAACACCAGAGAAGATGACAAATAAACACACATCATCATAAGTCTCTTGAAAGTTTCACTGAAAAAAAAAAAAAAAAAAAAAAAAAAAAAAAAACATATCAAGCCCGACCAGCTGCCTTGGAAAGTCTCGATAAACCATAAAACTTAGCATAAACACGGGGAAGAAACAGACATTTTGTTCACAGTCATACCCCATGAAATGAACTATGCTCTTCTGACCCCTCCCTCTTGATGCCATGTGGCCTGCGAACCCCGCCTCCTAATTGTCACCCCCGCGAGCTAATTAACGTCATTCCAGGACAGGTGACAATGACAGATCACTGGTTGAAGTGACACAAAGTCACCCGTCGCTCTGTTGACACTGCTGTGAAATTTGGGCTGTT